GACAAGTTAAGTGCAGTAGTAAGAAGGGGAAAAGATCTGACTGTGAATGATCAACCGAGATAACTCACAGCTTTCAGACCAGTCATGTTTACCTTCTGAGGAACCTTCCCTGAGGTCCTGCCTGGTAGCTTCAACTTTTAAATTATTGGCAAGTTGGTCTAGGAATAGCAGTATCTCAAATGTATCATTCTGAATAAAGTCAGGTTTCTTTCATAAAGGCCCAGGGAATATGTGTATTGTACAAGTTTGCCAGTTGATCCCAATACGTTCTAATCCTTTGAGAACCACTGCTTAAGAAATCGCTGCTTAGAGAATTTTCTTCAGTCAGTCATACCAAAGAAATTAATTGTAGGGCACATTTGTCATTTGTCACTCAGTATCTATTCTGCCTTTCCTCAACAACAGCCCAGATTTCCATTTGAGCATCAACTGAGCCCTTCCTCAGTCTCAGTCTATGTGGTCCATCCACCTTCCCCAGTTGTAGGGATGGAGCACATGACCCCAGCCTATGCCTCATTAGCATGCTGTATCTTGCTGGCCAACTGGCTGGTTCAAGGGTAAGCACATGACCTAAGTCAGTTCAATCAGAGTGCATCTCAAGACCTTTACTAGAATGCAAACTCAGTAAAAGCAAGGACCTTACCTGTTGTACTTCACTGCTTCCTCAGCACCTAAAACAGTGTCTGGAACAAAAGTATTGGACTGATGCGTACATTTGTAGTGTTTTTCACTTGCCCATGGAATGCAAATGTCACACCGTGGTTGACAGGTCACAGTTAATCACATCTGCCAATTCTCGGGTTGACTGACTTGGATCATCGTGGATTAAAGCGTTTAAGTGGTCTTCATCAAAGCCCAGTGGTCTTCCTGAACGTGGAGAATCCTTCAGGTCAAAATGGCCCTCTTTGAAATGACAAAACCATTGTCTTGCTGTGCTTTCCCTAATGACATTCTCCCCATACATGGCACAAGTGTTTTGAGCTACCTCCCCTGCCTTTACTCCTCTGTTAAACTCAAACAGAAGAACATGCCAGAAGTGTTCATTTTTTTTCTACTTGAAATTCTGTCTTCTTTAGCCCACAAATAGCATTAACTTTCTTCAAACCTGCAAAATGCAAGGCATATTCACAAGCACAACATTGTCACTCCAAAGGAAAAATGACAGACGGGCCAGGCTCAGTGGCTCAGCTTGTAATCCCAGCATGAGAGGCTGAGATGAGTGAATTACCTGAGCCCGAGGGTTCGAGACCCACCTGGGCAACTTGGTGAGACCTCGTCTCTACAATAAATTAAAAATTAGCTGGGTGTGGTAGGGCACGCCTGTAGTTCTGGTTACTTTGAAGGTTGAGGCAGAAGGATCGTCGGAGCCCAGCAGGTCGAGGCTGCGGTGGTCGGGAGCATGCTACTGCACTCCATTCTGGGCAACAGAGTGAGACTCCAACTCAAAAAAAAAAAAAAAGAAAGAAAAATGACAGACAATAAACAGACTTCTAACACCACAGTGTTGTCATGCCAAAAATAGACGCTATGAACTTATGCATTAACCTAATACATACTTACTACATATGACTGAATGTTAAATATCTGAAAATGGAGCCCAGCGATGAAAGAAAAACTGGATTTTGATGACATTGTTTGAATTTCATTTCAATCTACTCCTGGGTCATTCAGTTATTGTCAATAAATTCTCCTTATTTGCTTACACCAGTTTGAGTTTGAATTTCTCTTACCTGCAACCAAAAGGTAATTGGGAAGTAGACAAGACTAAGCCAGTAGGGCCTCAAAATGTATTAGGTTCAGAATATATCAATCTTTCTACTGAGCAAAACAGCTAAGGTCAGGACAATTTAGTAAGAACTGTGAAATATGATGAGATGAAGATTCACCTTCTGATGACATATTTTCTTTTGTTTTAAAAAATTAGTGAGTCTAGAAGACATTCTATGTGTGGCCATCTGACTCTACTTTTTAGCAGCCAACGGGGGTTTCTTTTTTATGGGCTTGCTGCTTCTGGTGTTAGGAAAAAACCACTGACCATTAATGCATCCATCACATGGAGTCTGTCACTCCCTGGGGAAGGCCCATGACTTTCATTAGATTCCCAAAGGTATCTAAGGCCAAAAAAATAAAAGAACCACTGAGTGAAAGCCAAGCAGTTTTCCAAAAGAGTAAGAAATTGATAAAATAAAATAAATAGTGACTCTTTCCAATAAATGGCATAACGGACGCAAGCTTGGATGCATCATTTATAAACTGAAATAACCGAACATAAGACATAATGGAAGGAAGGTGATTTTACTTCAAAAGCTGGCAGATGAGGAAATGGCCAGGTTCATACCTCAAAGGAACCATTTCAAATTTATAGGTTGAGTGTAAACATTTAAAAGGGAAAACTGGGTATGGAGAAATATGTGTGCGAGGCATAGGATGTGTCTTGATGGCTTATCTTGGGTGTGGGTTCTCCTGGAGATCTGGTTGGTATTATCGCCACTGCAGAAGGGTTATGGATCAGCCATCTTGTGACTCCCCCCCAAGCAGGAGGATTTCACAGTCAGCCTGTTTTAAGATTAGCCCTTGGGATTTCTAAGCAAGCTTATGATCAGATATACGTACATGGCACAAGATAAAGGGAGAAAATACATTTCTAAGACATGTTTCAGGCCTTAAGATGAAGAAAGAGAGAGAGAAAAAATCTTTGAAATACATTTTAAGACTGAAATACTTGCTTACAATGGTACTGAAAGAATTGGACTCCAACTCAAAAAAAAGAGAAAGAATTAAAAAGAACAAATATATAAAATTTAAAAAATAAATGATACCAAATTTTGAAGCAATATTCCCTCTATTTCCCTTTATGTTTAAGATTTCTATAACGATATTTTACAAAATGCACATACCACATTTAGGTTTTATCTCATAGATATATGCACATGTTGATCAAAGGATTATGCAGTGTTGTCATTCATAGCAAATCCTGGAAACAACTAAATATCCCTTGAGAAAGAATCGACTAAGTAAATTATGCTTCCTTTACACATGAAATACTAAAGAGCAGTTAAAAGAGGTGGCCATATATGCAGAATGTAAGTAAGCTCCATGAGGGAAGGAATTATTGTCTTTTTGTTGCTGTGGTTCCCTAGTATAGCCTAAGTAGAATTGTGCCTAGCACATAGTAGGTCCTTAATAAATGTTTGTTGAATAAATGAATAGAGGCAATGGTTAAATTTTTTAAAAGCAAGATATAGAACAATGTGCATATAGTTTGCTTGTCATTATAGGTCAAAACACGAAAGCATCCTTCATGGCCAAGAATTACATCAGATCTGGATTCAGATTTTGGATGGAGCTAGGAGCAGAAATAAAGGAAGCATGGTGTTGGATGGGGTTTTCTTATTGCATTTTAACCATTTTCAACTGAAATTACTCAGGTGTCTGTGTGTATAGACTCAGCATTTGATCTGAAGTTTATTATAAAAGTTCAGATGCAAAACATTTTATGGTGAAAATCAAGACTTACTGTATCATTTACATTAATCAAGACAGTGTGGGAATAGCATAAGGAAGGCCCTATACAACAGAATAGAGAATCCATAAATAGACCTACACTTATATGGTCATTTGATTGTGACAAAGATGCCAAAGCAATACAATGGGGAAAAGAAAAACTTTTCAACAAATGAAAAAACAAAAACAGCTGGGCTCGGTGGCTCAGCCTGTAATCGCACCTTTGGGAGGCTGAGGTGAGTGGACTGCCTGAGCCCGTGGGTTCGAGACCAGCCTGGCAGCAAGACCTCATCTCTATAATAAAAAAAAAAAAAAAAAAAAAAAAAAATCAGCCGGGCGTGGTAGCGCATGCCTGTAATTCCAGCTCCTTGGAAGGCTGAGGCGGAAGGATCACCGGAGCCCAGCAGGTCGAGGCTATGGTGACCGGGAGCGGCCACTGCACTCCAATCTGGGCAACCAAGTGAGACTCCAACTCAAAAAAAAAAAGAAAAAACAAAAACAAACAAAAAAACTATATGTGTGTGTGTGTGTGTGTGTGTGTGTGTGTGTGTGTGTGTGTGTGTATACACAAAGAACTTCAATTCTATAAAGTTTCTAGCTTAGGAGAAAACATAGGGAATATTTTTGGGGACCTAGGGAGTAGGCCAAAGTCTCTTAGAGAGGACACAGAAAGCAATCAACAAAAAAGTAAAAAGTGAATAAATTAAACTTCAAAATTAAAAATACATATTTTGAAGACACTGTTCAGAATATGAACAGGCTAGCCACAAAATGGAGGAAAATATTTCCAAAGCATGATAAAGGAATAGTGCCCAGAAGATGGCAAAATTCCTGTAATTCAATAATAAAAGACAAACAACCCAAAACAGGACACTTGTAGGAAGAAACAAGGTCCAAGTGATACACAGTGTGATAAAACAACCAGATACCTGGAAAAAGAATTAATTCAATTATACTACAATGTCATACTTTATCCAAACTATAAATATCATGGAAGAATAATTTAATATCTTAAAAAGAGGCTGGGCATGGTGACTCACATCTGTAATCCCAGTACTTTGGGAGACTGAGGTGAGAAGATTGTTTGAGCCCAGGCTGGACAAACAAGCAAGACTTCATCTCTACCAAAAATCAAAAAATTATCTGGGCATGGTAACATGCTCTTGTAGACCCAGCTACTCGGGAGGCTGAGGCTGGAGGATCACCTGAGCCCAGGAGGCTAAGGCTATAGTGAGCCGGGATTGTGCCACTGTACTCCAACCTGGTTGACAGAAAGAGATGCCAACTAAAAAAAAAAAAAATGTAAAAGAGAACACTAATTTGCATATAGACTTGCCCATTAAAAAAGAAATGCAACCTAAAAGTAAATATTTGTTTCTATTACTCTCATCCTAATTTTTTTCTTTTTCTTTTTTCCTTTTTGTCTCTCATCCTAATCAACTCTTAACAAAGTTTGGGTAATAATAATTCATCAATAAAAATCATTAAAAACTCAGTTACATATATTTTATCTTTATTTCACAGCCTTTTAAAAATATAGACCACTAAGTCTTTTGAAAAACATACACAGAATAATCATTTAGCTGCCACAATATTACAAAAATAAAGTAACACATAATAGATTACACAATAGAACAAAATAATCTCTGCTGAATCACTCTGACTAGGAACACAAAATAGTCACTAGAAAGGTTAAGTGGACCAGCACTGCCAATTTTCTATTATCAGTTATTACTAAAGTCAATCACAGGATCTATTCCCAGTAGACCATTCCATATACTACACAGGAATATGTGTAATGTACAGATGTCAAGTTCACATCTTTCCAAAATGCTATTTTTCCTCTTTCTCTGGGAGACAAGTTCAATGGTAAGGTAGAATAGTGAAGATAGTGAAGACCATGGGACACCAAGCTCATGACTGGCCCACACCTTTCCAACTGATTCTAAAGCACAAGAGAAGAATGTGTACTGTGTTATCCAGTGCAATAGCTATTAGCCCCATGTGGCTATTTAATTTAAAATTAATTACAGTAAAATAAAATTTAAATTTTACTTCCTCAGTCACAATAGCCACGTTTTAAGTGTTCACTAGCCACATGGGGCTAGTGGTTACCATATTGGACTCTGCAGATATAGAACATTTCTGTCATCACAGAAAGTTCTTTTGGACAGCCCTGGATGTGGGAAGTGTTTCTTCTCCCTTTGCTTAGCCAGGATGTAGGCTGCTTACAGAAGCAGTTTTGAGAGGCAATTCTCCCAGGATATTCCTAGATTGGTGGTGGAGTCACAGAAAGGAGAAAGGTAGCCTTTCTTTGCATAGATTACCCTCCCCCGTGCATAAAAGTGATGATCTTTTTACAGGGATCAAATACACAAATCTAGATTCCACCTACATCTAATTAACAGGAAAATTAGGGAAAAGTGATTGAGATGAGGAAGCAGCAAAGTAGAACATTCTTTATCCTAGACCAAACCTTTTTAAAGAGATGATAACCACCAACAGGATAGGCAGGTCCCCCGGGTCCTCATATAGACTGAGAGAGAAGGTCAGTTCTATCAACTGTTTTGTGAGAAAACCTGACATGTCTTCACTCTGCTTGCTCTGTCAGAGGGTAGCAGTGTTACTTGGAGTTTTGCCAGTTGTGAAGGTACTACAGTTTTGATCTTTTCAACCATGTATATTCCTGTCTAACTGTATTTTGTAGCTAGGGAATCAACTGCTAGTTGTTCATCCAAGAGCCACCACCATCTCCTTTCTTATCAAGAGAACGTGGATTTTTGCTGAAGGCAGTTGTATGTCCAGTTACAAAAACTGTATTTTTCAGGCAATCTTGCAGGCAGCAGTAGCCAATGACTCAGTTCTGGCCAATGAAATGAAAGCAAAAGTTATTGGACTGCTGAGAGAGCTCTGTAAAAGGAAGTAGATTCAAACTGGCATGCCCTGTTGTCCCTTTGGGCTTCCTCCTTCCTCTTGTGGGGAGTTGCAGGGACCATCTTGGAACCTAGAGGGAAAAGCCAAGGGAACGTCAGCAGTCACTTAATTAAGCCTGACATCTGTGAACTGTTAAACCAGCGACAGCAGTGGCCCACTCCTAACCTCTTTGTTACCTGAGAAAAAATGCAAAGCCTCTCATTTGTTTAAGCCACTGTTCAGTCCTATAACTTCCTATTCTATGATCTGTATAGCAATTCATCTTGATTCCCAATAGGAAAGTGAGATTTTCATCTGAAAGTAAAAAACATTTTGCCTGAAGAAACTGCATGTATTCAACAAATTCAAGTAACTTCAGAGTCATATTAATAAGGCAAAGGTTGTATATAAAAGTTTTTAAGTTGAACCCACCCATGTTTTCAGGATCTGTCTACACAGACCAGGAATGGCAGAAATGATCAGGCTCATTATATAAAGTAGCTACTAGTAAGGAAAATGAGAAGATTGTTTGCTTTATCAGGAAGCTTTCTCTGAGTGCCTATTAGGTTCTGATTACTGGTCTAAATTGCCCTTCTGATTACCCGACTTCCTGTATGGGAAAATGCTCACTACTCAGAGAATTAAATAGACCATTTTTAACCCATGCATTTATTTACTTTGCATAGGCAAGCTTTTAAAAATGGAGAATCAAGAAATTTATTTCACTGATTCAAACAAACAACAAAAAAATCAAAGATTTACAACTCAATTTTTAACTTTCCCTTGTATGTGACACAGACACCTGATAGTGACATTTTAATGGCCCTGGAGTTTTAATTGTGGAGTTAGCTTAAATATGTACAAATATCTCAAAGTAGCTCTAAAATTTTAAAACAAAGTACAGTACTCTGCAAACACTTTCTATGTACTACATTAATATCTTTAGTATTCTAAAAGTCCTTAGATTATTAAGTATGACTTTGAAAAAATAAATATTTTTCACTATCTTAAATGCTGTAACCATTTACAATTTTAAAAAATTTTGGTCATTTAAAATTTAACTCTATTGTACTTATTTTGAAACTATAGACAAAATTGGAAACATGAATGTCAAGCTAAAAATAGGGTATCACATATTTTTTACTCACCTAGTTCCAAGTTTCCACCCCTGCAAGTGAACCAAAAACAAATCCTGGCACCTTGTCATTCCCAGAAAAGCCAGTGCATGGCACACTCTGGGTAAATTTTCTCTCATATTCTGTAGAATCACACCAGATGGCATTGGTTCTGCATCCACAGCTGTGCCCTAAAATTGAAGTTCAGACATAGGAATCTACTTTATTAGACATTTCAGACTCTGCAAGTGTGAGTGTGATGTCATTCTCATTCAACTTAAAATGGTTATCTTTCCAAGTGGAATTGCAGATCCACTGCACTTACAAGTTTGGACATTACTGCAACAAACAAGATTGTCCTAATAAGACTTGAAATCATTGTGTGCAGCTGCAGTTAGAAACAATAATGAAATAATAACACTTGAAATAAAATGCAAATATTACATAATACAATTATGGCTCATTTCCTTATAATGTGAGAAATACAACTTGGCTTTTAAAATCACTGAAGAGTTACTGAAAACCTTTTTATTGAAAATAATATAGGTTGGGTCCAGTGGCTCATGTCTGTAATCCCAGGACTTTAGGAAGCAGAGTGGGGAGGATCACTTGGGCCCAGGAATTTGAGATCAGCCTATGCAAAAAATAGAAAAATTAGCCAAGCACGGCAGCATGCACCTGTAGTCCCAAGCTACTCAGGAGCCTAAAGTGGAATGGTTGCCTGAGCCCAGGAGCCTTCAAGCCTTCAGTGAGCCAAGATTGTGCCATTGTACTCCAGCCTGGGCAATAGAGTGAGACCCTAACTCAAAGAAAAATTTTTTTTAATAAAACATAGGAATCTTCTATAATCAAGTTACACTTATCTAATGAACAGTTATTTTAGTTTAGTTTAGTTTAGTTATTTTTTTTGAGTCGGAATCTCACTGTCGCCCAGGCTGGAGTGCAGTGTCATGCTCATAGCCACAGCAGCCTCTACCTGCTGTGCTCAGGTAATCCTTCCGCCTCAGCCTTCCATGAGCAGTTATTTTAAATGTCCCTGACTTTTCAAGTGCTTTAGTGTCGAGCTCATATTTACACCATCTGTAAAAGTAGCATAATGATGGTCAGAGCCAGAAGGTGGTCAGTCCACATGGGGAAGCCTAGAATCTAGACCACTGTGGTGTCAGAGTGTTAGATTGAAGTGAACAATGCATATGGGTAGCCAAAAGTATGAGTTCAAAAGTGATTCTAATGTGGGAGGTCAGTCTGTGCTGGTCATGAAAAAATAATGATTGAATAAATGAACAGAAAAAAGCAGCTCAACTATAGGTGGCAAAGTTTCAAAAGCAGAATCTCTAACAAGGCCAGGGCAGGCAAGAGACCGATGGTGGTGAGTTCTAGGAGCCTTCATTACCAGAGTTTTAGGGCCACGCTCCAAGCAGAGGCTGGGCTAGAGGAATAAATATGCTGGGTTTTGGGGAGGTCTTGCCTGGATAAATGGGAACTTAGTAAGTAATAAATTCAATCACAAGGAGGTTATAAAATGATACTAGACACAAAATAGAAAGGTGGTCCTCCTTTCTTAGGTAGAACCAGCAAAGAGACTGGATTAACACTGAAATGGCAATAAACTACTCACTCTGAGTTCTCAACAGTCTCCTGTCTAGGTAGACTCACAGGTGGGCTAAACTTCTGGACACCAGTGGTGCTGCTAGGAAAAGTAAAGGATTACAGAATCAAGAAGCCGAGCAGGTAGTTAAAATAATTTGCATTCTGTCTATTACAATTATAATAATTTGCATTCTGGCTATGTATATTATATACATATATGAAATGATTACAAATAACTTACAAACAACTGTAATTGCTAATTAATTACTCCCACATTAATCTTCAATGTCCATATTAACCATACAACCCTTTAACTAAATGCCACTGTAAAGATACCAACCAATTAGAGAACTATTGTTCAAGACACAATACAGAATCACTGCAGTTGATTCAGTGACTACAAACTGGGAATTCAAATCAAGTGTTGCTATAACTCTGACAAAGACTTGAGAATTTGCTTATGACATAGTAATTAAAATAAATGGCTTCATTAAGAACAGGTCTATTTTGGCAAAGTGAAATGGAAAATGTGGGAAATTATCTGAATGTCTCAGGTCAAAAACTTTCCCCATAATCATTCACCTGAGACTAGTTTTTCCTTCCTTTGAAGTATCAAAATAATTGTCTTACACTCCACTTTTATAATGTCAACTTAGACAAAATTCAGTTATTTCATTTTTAGCCTCTCTGCATGGTCCTCCTTTGTGTCTGAAGTTAGTAATGTACTTTCAATACTGCAGTCATGACTTGGACAACTAAACCACTAAACCCAAATCTTACCTTACTGAAGACAAACTATGTCTGTATCACATATTTCAGTCTAAGAACCCCTGCACTGATTTCCAAAAGAGCAGAATTATTATTAAAAATTGCAAACACTCCTGACACCTGATTCCCGCAATGAGTTAGAAATGAGTTAGGTGTTTTGGTTCTGGCAGCCGCTCACCAGTTCTGAGCCCGAGGGCCCTCCACTTCATGTCACCTATTCCCCCACCCCGAAACTGCACCATTGGAGGCCTTGCATCCTCAGAAGTTTAGGGCAACTGCAACCGCGTCCGGGCCCCCCTTACCATCTGCAGAGAGACCCATCTCGCAGCCTCCAGCCTGCTCCTTGCAGGGTTCCCAAGCTGGCACTGCAGCTGTGGTCCTCTGCGCGCCAGCCAAGGGCACCAGCTCGGCTCCAGGACGACAGGCGACATGAATCTAGGGAAAAGCATCTGGAGGATGAAGCCGTTCTTTCCCTCCATACCGCTGCCCGGAGGGTGCTTAGGGCACACTGGTGAGTTTGCTCCTGCCCATCAGTCTTTCCCAAAGGCTCTAATCATTTAACCCGAAACCACAGACCGGCTGCCCCGTCCTTTTCCCTCTGACCTGTACTCTGCAGACAGCGCCTCTTTCCGCCAGCTCTCCGCGCCATCGCCCAAAGGTCACGCACCCGCCAACCCAAAGGCATATTCCAAACGCCTCTCAGCAGCGCCCACCTCCTGCTGTCACGGACTCGAAACCCACCCTGGGGGCACTAAATCGGTCCGTGGCTCGAACAGGAGGGACAAGGGGAGGAAGGGATTGCCCCCCACACGGGCCACTGGATCCTCTCTCCCCCCACCCCGGCACCGTCGTTCGAACTCCACGGACCATCTCCCAATTCGAACAGTATTGGGGACACTTCGACTGCGCCCTGCTTCCTCCCGCCACCCGCCCCAAAGCTCACACACTCTCTCAAACATCTGGATTTTTCGGTTGTCATTCGGTGTTGTTTGAAAGTGGCTGAAGTGCGTTCCCCGAATAATCTCCTCTTCCGCGCTTGGGTACGAGCAAACCGGCTGAAGCGCAGGTGGACCGGGAAGACGAGCTCGCAGATGGGCGCTCCGGCCCCAGAGGGTGACCTGCCCGGCCGCCGTCCCTCCCCGCCCTGCGTCCCTCCCGACGGGCGCCGCCGGACCCCACGCCCCCGTCCGTCCCGGGTCCCTCCCGCCGGACCCCACGCCCCCGTCCGTCCCCGGAGCGGACCGTGCCGAGAGCCCCGGGCCCCCCACCCGGCGGATGGCCCGCTTGACGACGACCCCTGGCCCCCGACGCACCAGCTTTATTTTACTTCTTGATAAGTAGGAAATGTTATTCACATCTATAATTATTTGCAGACACGGACACAGATAGCTTACATGTGCTCAATAAATATTTGAATGTTAAATATTAAATAAATGAATGAGTCATGCAATGGCATTGTATCCTTAACCTTTTCTATTCCAGAGTCAGAGGTTTTTTTTTTTTTTTTTT